GATTTGGGATGTGTGTGCAAAATTCAGGTCATTCGGATGTGTTTTGGTTGGATTTTTGATCAAATGCGTGTTTCGGAAGTTTTAGAAGAACTTTGGCTTGAATCCGATGTAATTTGATGGTTTTGGTGTTGTTTGTGGTGTTTTGATGATTGGAGCAAGAATGATGTTTTAGGATGGATTGACACTTTTGGTTGAGGTCCCGGGGACCTCGGGGTGATTTCGGATGGCCATCGGGATGAATTTTGGACTTGTGTTATTGTTGAGTTTTGCTGGTTCTGGTATTTTCGCATCTGCGAAAATAGGACCGTAGATGCGGTGAGGGGCATCGCAGGTGCGAATTTTGGCTATTGGTGGATTTCCGCAGAAGCGGATGATTTTCCGCAGAAGCGGAGTCCGCAAATGCGGACCTTGACTGCTGTAACGACCCGACTGGTCGTTTTGCATTTCCAAACCCCGTTCCCTTAAATAATACTTCCCGCACTTGCTTTAGCTAATTTATGACTTGAGGGGACGGGTGGTTCGGAAGTTAGAAGAGTTTTGAGCAAGAACAAGCCTAGTTGTTTCTTTAAGTTTCTTTAAAAAGGCCAAGTTTGACTTCGGTCAACGTTTTGGGGAAACGGACCGGAATCGTGATTTGGCAATTTCTGAGGGTCCGCGGGAAAATATGGGACATGGGCATATGCCCGGAATCGAATTCCGAGGTCCCTAGCCCGAGTAATGAATTTTTTTTGTGAAATTGTTAAGTTAAAGTTTCAAAGATTTAAATAAACTAAGAAATCATTGTTTTCATAGGTATCGGGTTCGGATTTCAATTCCGAAACTTGGTACAAGTCCGGAATGTCAGTTAAGACCTACCCGTAAAATTTGGTGTCCATCCAAGTAGTTTAAGGGCGTTTTGACCCGTTGAAGGAGAATTAAGAACTTGAAGTTCAATGAATTGATTCATTTGGTTTTGGGGGTTGATTCCTCGATTTAGCGTTGTTTTGAGTGTTTCAAGGGTTCGAGTAGGTCCGCCTCGTGATTTCAGACTTGTCGGTATGTTCGGGCGGGGCTCGAGAGCCCCGAGCGTCAAATGGTCGAGGTTCGAGTGAAGTTGAAAACTTAGGAAGAAGCCTCATCTGCTGCTTCTGTCATAACCGCTTCTGCGGCTCTTGGACCGCAGAAGCGAGACCGCAGAAGCGGTCGTTTATTGTAGAAGCAGAAGGGGCCAGGCCCAGGGGAAACCGCAGGAGCGGACTCCTGACCGCAGAAGCGGTCCATCCGCCTAGGCCCAAAACCGCAGAAGCGGTGGCCTTTCCGCAGAAGCGAGGTTTAGACCGCAAAAGCGGCCTAGACCGCAGAAGCGACCGCACAAGCGCTCCCTTCCGCAGAAGCGGATCCCGCGGAAGCGGGATTCCTTCCGCAGAAGCGGAAATCACTGGGGGCAAAAGGGTTCATTAATACGAACCCAAACTCATTTCTCTCATTTCTCACTACACACTTGGGCGATTTTGGGGGTTTTAAAGAGAGAGTTTCCACATATCATCGCAAGGTAAGTAATTCCCACCCACTTTTAGTTCAAATACATAAACATTAGGTATATTTAAGGCTAAAATTAGGTAAAAATCAAGAGATTAGAGTTAGACCTAGGGTTTAGTCAAAACTAAGATTTAATCCTATAATTTACCATGAAATGAACTAGAAATCACATAATTGTGATCCTTAGGTGATAGAGAACAACTTCCTTCGAAAAATATTGGAATCCGGGTATGTGGGCCCGAGGTCAGAAATTAGGAAAACTTGTATTTATGGTTAGGAAATTGCTTAAACAATTAGAATTTAACCTTGTAAGCTCTTATTGACTAGTTCTTGCTTATTTTAATTAGTTGGTGCTCGTTTGGCTACGAATTAAGGGTTTGGGCCTATTCTTGATATCGGAAGTGCACTTCGGAGCGAGGTGAGTCTCCTTTCTAACCTCGTAAGAGGGAATTGTCCCCTTAGGATTATTGTTTGAGTGTTTGTTGCTAAATGCGGGGACTACGCACGCGTTAGGTGACGAGAGCCCGTGCGTAGCTACTACTATGATAAATGTCCGGGTAGCTTAGGGCCTACAACATGCCTATTAAATATATCTCTTATGTTAAATCGTTGTTATGAACACCTAGCGTGCACTAGAGACTTAAAAGGGGATAGGAGCATACTTGTATAGTTAATTAAGTGTGATTTGGTATTCTTGACCATTTATGTGTCATGTGTGTGAACTTGATATTCCGTCCTTATTTGTGGATCGGGCCGATCGCCTCGGTATGAATAGATGCATCTATAGGCGCACCGTCGACCCTCGGCAAGTGCACAGTTTATTTCTGTTGGATCGGGCCGTCGCCTCGGTATTGTGTGCGCATGTTAATTGTGGAAAAGCCTATACATGCTTTATTTTGCCATTATCTCATATGATAAATTATAAACCTGATGCTGTAAAGTTCTTGACTTATACCACTTGCCATAAACTGTTGATACTTGTAAATTCCATGATTTGAATACATCATACTTTATATATATATATATATTATTAATTGACCTTAGTAAGTGTCGAGTCGACCTCTCGTCTCTACTTCTTCGAGATTAGACGGGATACTTACTGGGTAAATATTGTTTATGTACTCATGCTACACTTCTGTACTTAAATGTACAGGATTTGAGGTAGGTGGATCCGGACATCACTCTGGTACATATCAGTGAGCGCATCTGGGACTTCTACGGTGAGCTGCACTCCCTTCTTGCCGATCCGCAGCCGAAGAAGTCTTCCTTGTATTTTTTTTGTTGTTGTTTCTGTCTATCCTGATTCAGACAGTAGGATAGGGCATTATTCATTTTGTGTATATTCTAGTTGTTGCCCGTAGCTTGTGACACCAGGTCCTGGCACACACAGTAGTAGACGTTATTTTTGGGTTGTATAACTGTCTTTACATTTTATTGATCTTTACTGGTTTATCACTTTAATTGGGGAAAAATCTATTATAATGGTTTTTGGTAAGGGTAAAAATGAGAATTTGATTATACTTCCGCGTTGGCTGGCCTGACAAATGGAGTCGGGCGCCATCTTGACCTATTATGGAAAATGGGTCGTGACAACATGGTATCAGAGCACTAGGTTCACGTAGGTCTCACAAGTTACGGGCAAACCTAATAGAGTCTTGTAGATCGGTACGGAGACGTCTGTATTTATCTTCGAGGGGCTATAGGGTGTTAGGAAAGACTATTCTTTATTCATTTTCCATCGTGCAGTGGTCAGTACACTAAGTTTCCTCTTTTATTCTCTCACAGATGGTGAGGACTCGTGCCGCCGACGTTCCGGACCCAGGAGGAGCTGCTCCCCCCGTTGCCAGAGGCCGAGGTAGAGGCCGGGGAGGGCACCGGCCCGCGGTAGGGGACGAGGGCGTCCCAGAGCTATTCCAGATGCACCACCAGCAGACCCTGCGAGGGATCCCACTACTGAGGAGCAGGGCGAGGCGCCCGCAGCTGTGCCTACTCCGGCGGATTTCATGACTGCGCCGGGATTTCAGGAGGTCATGGGCCGTATGCTCCGGTTCATGGACACCATGACTCAGGCTGGTTTATTTCCAGCAGACCCAGCTGCTTCGCAGGCAGGAGGGAGAGCACAGACCCTTACTGCTCAGGCTCCAGGTCATGCAGCCGCGGTATATCAGATTCCGGGTGCACTACCTGTAGAGGGGGTTCAGCCAGTTGCTGCAGAGGTACCCTAGCCTAAGCCAGCTGTGGAGTTCGATTCGCAGAAGTTACTAGACAGATGGACCAGACTTCACCCTCCAGTCTTCGGAGGTGAGCGTCATGAGGACGCTCAGGATTTCATCGACAGGTGCAGGGACAGACTGCGTGCTATGAGGATATTGGAGTCGCATGGAGTCGACTTCACTACTTTTCAGCTTGAGGGCAGGGCCCGTAGATGATGGCAGTACTATGTTCTTGGTAGGCCCGCCGGTTCTCCTCCCATCACTTGGGGTCAGTTCGTACAGTTATTCCTGGACAGGTATATTCCGCCCTCTGAAAGGGAAGAGCTGCGGTATCAGTTTGAGCACCTTGATCAGGGTCAGATGTCTGTTGCCGACTACGAGGCGAGGTTTTCTGAGTTATCTCGCCATGCACTTATGATACTCCCTACAGATGCAGAGAGAGTGTGGAGGTTTGTCGCTGGATTGCAGCCCAGTATTCGATCGGGTATGGCTCGAGAGGTGGAGATGGGTACAGAGTACCAGCTTGTGGTCGAGATTGCTCGCCGGATTGAGGGATATCGTCAGAGGGGTAGGGAGCAGATACAGCAGGACAAGAGAGCCAGATTCTTTGGAGAGTTTAGAGGTGCCCCAGCTAGGGGCAAAGGTCAGTATGGGAGGGGTCAGCCCAGTTGGTCCCCATCTTCAGCACCACCACCTCCCGCCCGGGGTGCTCCAGCACGCCCCTATTTCCAGTCGCCATGCCCAGACGAGTTCCTACCGCCCGCCAGCTATTCAGGGTTCTTCCAGTCGGGTA